TGCAAGTGATCCACTGACAGTTGATTGGCAGGTCTGGGTCATATTCAGCAGGTGCTTTATTAGGGCAATCTAATGTTCTTGCGCTGGATACACTTAGTGAGCGATTCCAGAAGTTTGGGTATTGGTCTGCTGATGTCTGTTTTTGCCACCCCCTCCAGTAACTCTGTACAGTTTCGCTGAAAGACAAGAAATATTGGTTCACTGGACAACCTTTCATTAATGTTCCTCAACTATCACTCTACAATGTGGCTGCATTTGCTTTCTTTATCCTAAAGGTACAGTGTGTGTGGTACTCCAAACCTTCATAAAACAGATTTGACCTTCTAATTTGGCAAATGTGATGTCAAAAGGGAATTCTTACAATTTTGCTGTCGATGAATATCTTCAAGTTCCTCACAAGCTTCTTCTCCAACATTCCCATTGCATTCTTGAAGTGTTCATGTTTATTCAAGATATCATACACTTTGCAGAAAAACGTATCCTGTATGGAACATAAACAACAATATATTAGCTTTTAAAAATCACATACATGGGAAATTATGAAAAATGGCTATTGTGATTTGTCTTCTACAGTTACTGCGTTTGGTGTCAATCAGAAAACAAATACAAGACTAACACAAATATAAGACAAAAAATACTGGTGCTACTACCCAGCTGATAACACTCACTAAATAACCTTTTCCAAATCTTCGGACTTGAACTACAAACAAGCATGTTTGAAGACATAACATTCTCACCTCACATCCAGCTTCAACCAGATGCGATACATCCTCCACAAAGAATACCTGCAAAAAATGTGATTATTACTTACTAAAGGTTTCAACATGATATTACACTAATTAAAAAAAACAAGTTAACAAGCAAGAAAACAGTTGTGCATCATGTGAGATCTTACCTCTCTGACAGAATTACTGTAATTTTCAGCCAGGTCAATTATATTGTTAAGGTTAACATCAGGCCTGAGATGAGTAGGACTGGAGATAGCCGGGCTGGCCAGCATCGCCACAGTGGAAATCAGCAGAAGCATCATCATCTTCGTGATACTAGCTCGTTGGATGTCGACCTCTGGAAGACGCTATTTCAAGTGGCCCTTGAATTTATCACTCAATCGTCGTGCTTGCAGCTTGTTCTGAGGTCTTGGCTGAGAACACAAGATTTATACTCGCTTTGCTCACGCCTTTGCCATGTTTTCCCTCTCATTTCAAACAAAATATGCAGCGAGTCTGCAGTATGTGTGAGAGATAAGATTTTTTTGATTAAGCTGTGGTTGCACATTCACCAAAGCTTTGATATTTTTTCTATGAACTGTATCTATAGGATCAACTTCCATACTAGTAAAAAAAAAATCTTTCTAACAAGCAATCACTTGCTCAGCGAAAAGAGAGACAGTCATAAATGACCTAAAGGCCTTTGTCCTTCAAAACAAATGTAATGACAAAACGTTATGAGCTCAAAAAGGAGTAAACATGAAAAGAAAACAGCAAATTGTAATATTGCCCTGAATTTTTAAGCAGAACAGATCTTTCTGTTGCCACTGCTGTCCACCACATGGCTACTGGACATTTTGTAAAGACTACAAGCAACAATGCACGTCTCAAAATGACAATATTAAAAAGTCTTGATCCATAACACTAACAACTTTCACTATGAAATAAAGGAAACACCTGGCAGCTGTTGTTGCCAACATTATACTCTTATTTCTGCAGTGTCACTACTGTAATTCACCATAACAGTTCATTACTGTAAAATGTATTACTGTATTGTACAGCAGAATGTGAGTTTTAGAGTAATACTGTAGCTAGGCATGAAGTATTATACTGTATTTCAACACTGCTGCTATTGTAATTTACATTAGCAGTTTTTTACTTTATGTATTACAGTAAACTACTGAAAACCTTTCATCTTCATATTAATAAAAACCAGTGCACAGTAGCAGAGATATATATATATATTTTTTTTTTTACAGCAAAAGCTGTTCATGCTATTGATTAAAAGTCCTAATCCTGATCCTAGTATCAGTTTGTCTTTGTTTTTGACTTGTGATGTTATCCAAAGAAACTTTAAACAACACACAGATCACAGGATACATTTGGGCAGTACAGGTATGGATTTTTTTTGTAGACATTTTACCTGGTGGAATGGATGAAATAATATAGTATAGAACACAAATTAAGTTTAGATTATTGAGCAGGTACTTTACAAAAAAAAAAAGAACCTTATCAAGTCAGTGTGCTTCCCATGGGTTTCTGGAAATATCTCACACACTGTGAATATGAGGCATTCGAGGTCCCTGGTTGTCTGGGGCCACAGGGTCACCTGGCTTTGCACAGTAATCCTATCATGATGCCAGAGACAAATGTGGGACCATCATGAAGTTTGTTGTAAGTTAAACATGCATGGTTGTCTGACTAACTCTAAACCATAAGCTACTGTCAGCATACTCCTCTTGTAAAAATTCTGCATTACAGTAACAGTGTTTATTTTGACCAAATATACATTATTATTGATAAACGACAAAGACATCATAAGCATCGACAAAAAAACATCAGTAAAGCTAACTGGGTACTGCTTTCCTGGATACTGAGAAGCATTTTGTCCTTTATCTAGTCTACTGCTGAGAGACTTTAAAGCGGTTTGAAGTGATAGCAGTATAACCGACACAGCTTTTTCTAAGGCCATATATGGTTGATATAGAGAGGGAGCAGAAAACTGCTGATCAATCTATCTGGCCTCCTGTTATGTTTTTATAACTTTATATGCAACAATGAATTTATAGCTTATGACATCTGATACAAAGGGTATTAAAGGAAGGAAAATCCAACAAATAAGACTAATCATTTCTATATTTGTCAATCAGCCCAAAAAAGTTGGATTGCTGTTGGTATTGTGTATGTACAAAAATATGTGGATCAAGATCAAAGGTTAAATAAAACATTTTTTTTTCTTCTGTTTTAAGATACAGTGTTACAACCCAGGTCTCTAAGTAGGTAGTTTGAAAGAGAATGAGAAAAGATGACAAAAGATGTGTCAAAAGTACAGCATCATCAAGAATCAATGCAAAACATTTTCAGACACACCTCATTTATGGGCCATACAATTTATTTTTCCATGGACACTTGCTGTTTGACATGGTATAATGAATACAGGTCATTCAAATATATAAAGCAGTCTTAACTTATTAAATTATGCTAAATACAATAAAAATAAATAAATATGCAGGTGTGTGATAGTGCTCAGATCTGAGTCATAACTTCCATGTTTTATTTTCTACTTGGAAAGCAGTTGGAGACCCGCCATGAGCCCAGACTCTTTATGAAGTCGCTAGTCTTCAACTGTGCTGGCTGTGCGTTGCGCAGAGGGACAGCAAATATGAAGTTTAATTGTACTGTATGTATAGACACTACTAAATAAAAACAGTCAATAACATAAGAAAGGAAAAACTATTTCAGTAACAACTTCTTTTACATGTTAAACAACAAACCATTACATAAAATAAACTATAACAAATCATTCAACGTCTCTAATCATCTCCGCCAATACTTTGCTATTTGTAATTATCAATGTCACCTTTTTTAAATGTAAATATAATTTTTTAATTATTTTTTTTTAATTAACACTCAAGGACGCAAGTGATCCACTGACAGTTGATTGGCAGGTCTGGGTCATATTCAGCAGGTGCTTTATTAGGGCGATCTAATGTTCTTGCGCTGGATACACTTGGTGAGCGATTCCAGAAGTTCGGGTATTGGTTTGCTGATGCCCGTTTTTGCCACCCCCTCCAGTAACTCTGTACAGTTTTGCTGAAAGACAAAAAGAAATCATATTGGTTCACTGTACAACCTTTCATTAATGTTCCTCAACTATCACTCTAAATTGAGGCTGCATTTGCTTTCTTTATCCTAAAGGTACAGTGTGTGTGGTACTCCAAACCTTCATAAAACAGATTTGACCTTCTAATTTGACAAATGTGATGTCAAAAGGGAATTCTTACAATTTTGCTGTCGATGAATATCTTCAAGTTCCTCACAAGCTTCTTCTCCAACATTCCCATTGCATTCTTGAAGTGTTCATGTTTATTCAAGATATCATACACTTTGCAGAAAAACGTATCCTGTATGGAACATAAACAACAATATATTAGCTTTTAAAAATCACATACATGGGAAATTATGAAAAATGGCTATTGTGATTTGTCTTCTACAGTTACTGCGTTTGGTGTCAATCAGAAAACAAATACAAGACTAACACAAATATAAGACAAAAAATACTGGTGCTACTACCCAGCTGATAACACTCACTAAATAACCTTTTCCAAATCTTCGGACTTGAACTACAAACAAGCATGTTTGAAGACATAACATTCTCACCTCACATCCAGCGTCAACCAGATGCGATACATCCTCCACAAAGAATACCTGCAAAAAAATGCAATTATTACTTACTAAAGGTTTCAACATGATATTACACTAATTAAAAAAAACAAGTTAACAAGCAAGAAGACAGTTGTGCATCATGTGAGATCTTACCTCTCTGACAGATTTACTGTAATTTCCAGTCAGGTCAATTATATTGTTAAGGTTAACATCAGGCCTGAGATGAGTAGGACTGGAGATAGCCGGGCTGGCCAGCATCGCCACAGTGGAAATCAGCAGAAGCATCATCATCTTCGTGATACTAGCTCGTTGGATGTCGACCTCTGGAAGACGCTATTTCAAGTGGCCCTTGAATTTATCACTCAATCGTCGTGCTTGCAGCTTGTTCTGAGGTCTTGGCTGAGAACACAAGATTTATACTTGCGTTTCCCACAAAAAAAAATGCAGCAAGTTTGTGTGGGAGATGACATTTGTTTGATTAAACTGTGGTTGATGAGAAATTTTACCAAAACCGTGGTATTTCTTTCTCTGAACTGTATCTATAGGATCGAGAAAACACAAATGAAAAAAAAAAAAGACCTTTCTAACAAGCAATCACGTACTTATTGAAAAGAAATAAACAGCATATGTCCTTCACAAGAAATTTAATGACAGAACATTTTGAGCTCACAAATAGCAAATATGGAAATCCAACTGCAAACTGAAACAGTGCCCTGAATTTTTAAGCAGAACAGATCCTGCTGTTGCCACTGCTGTCCACCACATGGCTACTGGACACTGTGAAAAGACTACAAACACCAGTGCACATCTCAAAATGACAATACAGAAAAGTCTTGATCCGTAACATGGAAGCTGAACATGCTTTATATTAGGCTGAACTTATGTCACTTTTTAAATGTTTTTGATTTGTGAATGTATCCAAACAACCTTTAAAAAAGAGACAGACCACAGGATACGTTAGGGAAATACTGGATTCAGACAGGGACAGAACAGAGCTTGGCCTTTGTGTTCTGGTGATAAATAAAATAAGTGTAATACTGTGTTGCAGATCAAAAATGTTACATATAGCTGCATGGATATTTGACAGTCTTTTTGTTTTGGGTAGTATTAGTATTGTTCACATCAGTTAACCTTTAAACCAGTTAATATAAGGCGTGACTTGAAAGTAGATTTCCATTATGCTACAAAACCCGGAAATATTGTATTACACTTTTTAAACTAACCGATTAGTGACCCTGCCCAACCAAAATTAAAGCATGAAAAACAAGGATTACTGTGGATTTCCAAAAGAGTTTACAGAGTCATTTGTCAGTGGAGATAGGATGAGAGGGAGGTGATGCTGCACTTTGTGATCTCAGAGTTCTGGTCCTGGTTCTTACGGATGCGATAGAAGTGCTCGATGTAGCTGGACCGCCCCAGCAGCTCCACAAAGTCCTCATCGTGGGTGATGATCAGCAGCTGGAAGTTACGCTGGCGAGAGCGACTCTTAATGATTCTGGGGAGAGTGACACAAAGGAGATATAGTACATAAAATGCATATAGTTCTCACTGTAATATGCCAAATGAAACAGTGTTCGCTGAGTAATGCAATTAGTAAAACAGTGTTTGGCATGTCAGGTGACCTACGCTAACCAAGCAGCCTGTAATTAATCTTTGTTATTCTTTGTACTTTTCATTCTTTATTAGTGACCAAGTTCTGACTGACAACAGCACTCAAAAAACACAAGCTATTATTTAAATGAAACAGTGGGGTTTGCTGCAGAAGGCTCTGTCAAAGAATGTGTTTGCAGCTCAACTTTTGATACTGTGCACTGTGTCAGCCAATAGATTATTTTCAGGCATTCACATTGCATGTAGCTTGTAGCAATGTGCTAATGCTACTCAAGCTTTGAGATGGAGGAGCAAATTATTGCTGCTGTGCTCCCAAAGGAGTAAAAACAGTTTGACACTGTCTTGGACTTCCTGGTTTGTATTTCATCTTCTCACACGTATCAAGACATTTTGTCAGTAACGGCCTTAAAGTCAAATCAAGGCTGGAGACGTGTGAAGAAGTTTATGAATTAGAGCCAACATGTGGAGTTTAGAGTTGCACTGTGTGTATTTTTGTACTTCTGTCCTTGTGAGGACGTTACTGAGTTTGAGAAATATTTTCACTACCTTGAAAGTAGTACATCATGATATGAACATGTGCGATGACACATCGCAAAAGACTGCCTGAAATGCGTTGAATAATAAAACGAATGTTATTTAGGGATGGGTACTGAAAACCGGTATCACACACGTGGAAAGTGATATTTTAATCTTAGTCTTTTGCACAAGCACAACGCGCTAGCTCAACAAATAGCAAATTGTTACAAGACTAAAACAAAAGCTGTCTGTTTGTAGTCTAATTGTTGAGCTTAGTTTGACACTAATAAACTCATCTGCAGACTGAGACCAACTCCTCTTCTCTACCAACTTTACCTGCAGGCTGTGAATAATAGCCGCAGCAGGAAGGAGGAGGAGGTCAGGAGGAAGGACTAATACTAACATGAGTTTTTCATTCTTTCTTAAATTACTCAGTACTTTGATGTCTGGAACATGATTTATTTTATTGACATTTTAGAAATGTTATATAGTTACTTTGCTGTTGTTAACTTTAATGTTGCTGCTCTAGAAACAACATTTAGTTTTATTTAAAATACTTAATTCTAATCCTGTTCTGAATTTAAAGACAACCAGGCAGCTAATATGCACACGTTAATATTATTTTATTTATCACAAATATCATTATCGCAATACTCAATGTTTTCGCACATTGCAGATTTTCCTCATAAAGTGCAGGTCTACTTGAGTGTGAGAATATTTAGGTCGATCCTCATGTCTTCAACGGTCTGTTTGAAAATTAAGACTTAGTTTGAAGGCTACGGTTAGTTTTAGGTTTTTCAGGTAAAAAGCTTATGCAGACTTCACGACTTTCAGTGTCGGCCGATGACCGTTCCATTCACACTACACAACTTTCTGTCTTGTGATGGGAGTCTTGAAGTCATTGTGGCGTTCACACTATAGGGGGACTAAACGGGAAATGACGCGAACCTACACACGAAAACAGCTGTTGTTTGTTATTATAAATATACCAATTATAAAGACAAAGAATATGGGTGAAAGAATGGATTAGCACACGCAGGTAGCAGGGATCATCTAAGCTACAGAGGATTTGGTAATGAATAATTTCAATGAGGGACCTTAAAAGTTTAGAGGAAAACCATTGTATTTGTCTGTGTATGTGTGTACTGACTCTACGAGGGCGTGTGCCAATGACTCAATGTTGTCCCGGTCCAGGTTGGTGGTGGGCTCATCCAGGGCCAGGATCCCACAGTTCAGACAGAAGGTCTCTGCCAGAGCTAGACGGATGATCAGGGATGCCAACACCTAGACACACACAGGCACATGTGGTAAACCAAAAACTGGAATGAATTATTCAAACAAAAATCCACCTTAACTCTAGATATCTACCCGCTGTGATGGATTTCTTTTTGTACTCCACTTGTATAGATCATGATTCACTGGAAATTATTGCATTTTTATAAAACACATGCAAGGGTTTTGTGTGATTGTGCCAATACAGAAAGTACTTTCTGGTACCTTCTGACCGGCACTACAGCGTCCTCTCATATCCAAAGCTGTGTCTCCTTTCACCATAACTACTCTGTAGTTGTAAACCCTCCGCCTCACTCCAGCAGACGAGTTTTCGTCCATATCAGACCTGATCTCCACGTACTCAATATCTGTAGAGGGGGCAACAGGGAGTGAAACACAGAGGGAGAAATGAGGGGGGATAATTATGGACATACAAATACTGCATACAAATTATTGTTTTTTTGTTGTTTTTTTTAAATAGCGAGATGTACCTTGACCCCTGTAAGTGCTGCGCCATAGGTCTCTGATAATCTTGTTGATCTCATCCATCTTCATGCTGTGGAATTTCATGATGGTTCTGGGTGGGGGGGGGGACAAACAAAAAGGTACAACCCCAATAGTGACTAGATACTACCTTCCCAAAAGCTAGACATCTCCTAGATATTGATTTTGTTGGATGTCTCACTTTACCAAAGCGTCATTTCTGTTTTGACAGTTAGGTGACAAACTCAAAACAGAAGCAGACTCATCACTCATTCAGTTATGAATATCAAACTGAACAAAACATTTTTAATTGACAGTGGGGCCAAAAATGGCTAGCAATTCCTGTGTCTGTATTTGCTTATGTACAGTGTTCAAAATTCACACCCGCCAAATGCAGTTAAAATTTATGAAAGATTGGGGTCACCAGGCACGTAACCGGTCCATAGTTTGGAATCACCGCACAGAGCCCCTCAGCCTCTAATTCAACACAGGTACCACACAAACTTTTACAAAGGGCTATGAACGTACTTCTAGTCGAAGTGCCAGTGGACCCTCTGTTTCCAGCACAGACACAGAGAGTCTGACAGCAGCAGCTAATGGCTGGTTAGTGCTGACTACCAGCATCCCTGTGGCTGTTCCTTCTAGCGGTGATGACTCTGTCACACTGGTCAGTGTTTCCCTTCCCTACTTACTGGTGCAGTGATCTTAGTGAGCAGGGTTTTGAGAACAGGGGTGGCAAAAACATGTCTGGTGATGATGGAACAGAATGAACTGAAATGCAACAATGCAATTGTTTGATAGTTTTTTTTTATAAAAAAGGTTCAGTATAAAAGTTTTAAATCTGATGTTATCTATTCAAAAATTCTATTTAAGGTGATGCTTAAGATGACTTTGCATACTAAAAAGTATGTATGACGCCGTTTTATGGCCAGTACAAAATATTGTTTCGCTAGTAAATTTTCTCAGTTTACCTGCCATTGGCAGATGAGGCAAAACGTTAATTTTGGACCCTGCTTATGTATAGCTGCCTTTACTTTCCTACAGTTTACAATGAGTACTTCTGCTTCAAAAAAAATGTCACTTGTGTCTTGGTTCAATAGATTGAAACATGTGCAATGAAACAACAGGATATAACTGTGTAATTGTATTTCTGCTTGGTATCCCAGATGAAAAGAGGAGCACAGATGCATGACCTGATGCTGGACCAGGTGTATATTTTTTTTACTGTATATTGTCAGCTACGTAGCAGGAGGGAGTTACAAACTCAATTTTACTTTACAACCTGTTGTAATGTGAGAAATAATTCTACCATGTAATCTCTGGGCTGGTTCAAAATTGCAACCACACCATAGTGTGCATACTAGCATGGATACATAAAGTTGTTTGAACTCAAACTGACACAGATGGATGAAGGTTACACAAGTTTGCTGATGCACACAATGACCTGACTGACTTCCAACAATAAGGCCAATTTTGATGACTTGGTTATAAAATGTTAGCAAGAGCATAAAATAAAATAAAATTTACTAAATCAATTAATTATTTACACAAGACAGAGATACATGTTGATATAAAACATAGGAAGGCAGCCAACTGTGTGTTGCTTTCCGGCATACCAAGAAGCATTTTGTCTATAATCTAGCAAATTGATGAGAAACTTAATGTGGTCTGATAACACCAGAGTGATAACAGTATTATCAGCAGCATTTCTTCTAAAGCCCATATATGGTGGACAAATAGACGAACGATGAAAAAAGAAAGAAACAAAAGACAGAGGGAGTAGAGCTTGATATTCTTTCAACAGTAATGGAAGGTTTTTATGCCCAAATATGAGAAGAAAACAAGTGAAGTGAAGTGACGTTACATACAGTATCAGACATACGTTCAATGAAGTTTACTGAAGAAGAAAAAAACAGATGGCAGTCCAATGTTTTGAAACTGTAACATTAAATAATGCACTGATTGTAATTTTCTTGGATAATTCCAATTTCAGATTTTTTGTTTTAAGTCTGACCTGCCAAATTCTCTTTCTAAGAACTGTACACTGATCAGCCATAACATTATGACCACTGCCAGGTTAAGTGAATAACACTGATTATCTCTATACTATGTGGGATGGGATATGTAAGGCAGAAAGTGAACATTTTGTCCTCAAAGTTGAAATGTTAGAAGCAGGAAAAATGGGCGAGTGCAAGGATTTGAGCGACTTCGACAAGGGTCAAACTGTGATGGCTATCTTTCAGCAGTATAATGTGCTCTGCCACAAAGCAAACATGGTTCAGGAATGATTTGAAAACCACGGCGAGTTCAAGGTGTTGACTTAGCCTCCAAATTCCCAAGATCTCAATCTAATTGAGCATCTATGGGATGTGCTGGGCAAACAAGTCCGACCCACGGAGGCCCCACCTTGCAACTTACTTGGACTTCGAAAGGATCTGCCAACGTCAACAGTGCACCTTCAGAAGTCTACTGGATCATCAATCAATTGACAGGTCAGGGCTGTTTTGGTGGTAAAGGGGATCTACACAATATTTGGCAGGTGGTCATAATGTTGTGGCTGATCTGTATAAATGTGGGCATACAAAAATATTTTCTAACCTTTCTTTAATGAATATTTCTGCTCTCGCAGGACAGCATTTGTGCACATAGAGCAGAAATGATCACACACGAGGATGGTCTTTCACCCGCGGATACCACTCTGTGCACACACCTGTTTTTAAGGGCTGCGGGTTTTGACACTAATTTACCACCACACCCTAGAGCAGCGTTGGGAAGGTTACTTTGGAAATGTAGTAGGTTACCGATTACAAGTTTCTCGATATAAAATATAATAGTAATGTATCTTTTTCAATTACTTTTTAACAGTAATGTTACTTATATTTAATTACTTTTTTATTTTTCTAATGAAAGTTTTCAACTGTTAACCATTTTCAAAAGACAGCTTGAGAAGCAATTTAACTGGCAGACAGTTGGCGCTGCAAATTCAAACATGAGAACCAATCAAAAGCATCAGAATAGCACCAAACCTTACTAAATGGCTGTAGTTGGAAATTACAAAAGCAAGATGTATGCATGAAAAACATGCAAAGCAACAAAATTAATATTTTGCAACACATAGCCTAGCTGTTTACAGAAAATATTCAGATGTAAACATCAAAGTAATCATGAACATTTTCATAAGTAACAGTAATTTAATTACTCACTTACTTCCTAGTAACTAATGGATTACAGTTACATTTATTTGTAATTAAATTACATAACATGAAACAGGTTACTCCCCAACACTGCACCAGAGACAATATTTGGTTCACACACCTACATTGACTGTTCTGTATCCATTACCCAATAACCTGGTAGCTTACTTCAAGATCCTTTCAATTTCCTAAACTTCCTTGAGCGTCAATTTTAACATCAATTCTATTTCAGTATCATGTGGAATACATGAATATCTGTATATTCAAAAGATTTCTCGCTGAAATGAATATGATATTTATTTTCTCAAAGTCATTTTACAACAGTGAAACAGGGATTAGAAGTACTTGACAGTCACAGTCTCCGGAGTCTAATATGCACATACAACAATCTGTTGCAAAGTGACAGAGGAAGTTTCATTTTGCACTACCAAATCAAAGCATCTCACCATAAAACCATTTTCTGTGTATTCAGACTGAAACTGTGACCTGAAATGTATGGTCTGCTGGAAGGCTGCTATGGCCTGCTTTCAATCTTGATAAAAGTGCAGACACTGATGCCTTAACTAACCCACACATTTGAGCAAATGATGCTTCTGCTCTCTTCTCAGATGGTATCTAAGACGGTGAGCTCAGACTTCCTTACAGAGGCTCACTTCTGTCTTTCATTCTTTTTTATGTCTCTGTCATATTTATCCATATATTCAAAACATTGAAAATGTTTTCTCCCCATGTTGATCTTAATTACAGTGGATCTTCTCTATAAGGATTCGATGGAAAGAATAGTCCACTGCAAAAGCATAATGAGCACTGATTCATGACCTTGTGAAAAAGTAACCTATGGTGCTTTATTATTGTCATTGTCTTAGTTTTTATAGCATAAAGCACTTTGTGTTACTTGTTAGAAAAGTGCTATACAAACAAAGATGATTTGCAATAAAATTTTGTTGTGATCGCCTCCTTCGCAGTTCAAAATTTTAAAATGTGCCTGGTTGTGCATTGCTACCCTGCTGATAATTTTCCAAATATTTGCACATTTTTATCACAAAAATCAACCATGTACATGCAAACCTGATGCCACACTGCAATGATGCTGATGCCAATAATGCGGCTGTATTTCTAGGAAACAAACCTGATATTTTGTGGTAAGTTTTGTGCTCGTAAGACTGGCATAGCATTGGGGTGGATTTATATTCTTGAAACATTTCTAAAGGCATATAAAGATGAATGATAATGAATTTTCACACTTAATAATTGGGTATCAGTTGTATTCCATAGATTATTTGCTGAATCCTTTGGAAAAACACTTATGTATAACCAATGTGAATGTTGAAAATATGAAGTGATCAAAGAATAATAATAAAGTATCTTAATCTAACTGAATTAGGGCTGCAACTAAACATTTTCTGTATCGATTAATATGCTGATATTTTCTCAGTGAAAACAATTCATTAACGACAAATAGCAGAGGTGGGGGAAAAAACTGATGTAGCATAGCATCGTGATATTTTCCATGGCAATACAAGTATCGATCTTTTATTATATAAATTGTACATGCGAATTTTACTTTTTGATACTATAATAATAAAATCAGTTGCTTTTTCAGTCCAATAGAAAAACAGTTTTCCTTTAGGGACACAATTTGAAGTTGGAAAAAAGGTAATAATTCGCAATATATCGCAATATTTTAGGGCTGAAACGATTCATTGATTAAATCGATAAAATCGATTAATAAAATGCATGGACACAAATTCTTTGCGTTTCGTTTAATCCATGTAACGATACAGCACAGTGTTTCACAGGGACAATGACTACTGTCGCACATCGCGCTTACGCTGTAGAGAGAGAGAAAATAGCGAGGGACAAAAGAAAGTGTCTAAAATATGGGATTATTTCAAGCTAAAGAAAACAACAACTCTGTAATGTCACCGGCCGTCCACCGTAAAACGAAACTTATGTCGCCTCGGCAACAGCACGGCGGCACCTGAACAAAAAGCAGCCGGTGTGCTGCCACAGACAAGCAGTTAACTGAAATCATGATTGATTGCTGAGTTGAAGGCTAGCCAAAGTAAGCTGCAGCCCTCAGCTGTAAATGAACACATGTGCGTTTGTTGTTCTTTTTGGGCCGTGAGGTGTAACCTCACAGTCATTCGTTAACTGGGTGTTGGGGAGCTGCACCTTTTAACTCCCCTCCAGCTCTCTCTGTAGCTCAGATAATCCCTGCTATCTGCGTGTGCTAATCCATCATTCATATAAAATGCATTCAAATGTAGACTGGAGAAGCACTACGCTCCATCTACACACTTTGCATGGTCATCATATATCTGCACTTTCTAGAGCATGATGATGAGAAAAAAATAGAAAGTTCAAACTTATGACTGCTGACGTGTCTTACTGCATAGACTTATCCACCTACACAAAGGAAATTCAACTGATGCAGAAACATGTAATTCCCTCGCCACAAATGTCGTCAGTGTTTTGCTTTGATGTTGCAAAAGATATGTGTACAACAAATAATGCTCATAGGTATTTGGTTTTATTTCACACTTTTGAATCCGATATTAACTTACCTAATGCTATTCCTTTTCTGTTCTCATATGTTTTTATTTCGCTGTACTTACATGTGGACCAAAATAAATTCCTTGTCCACATGTACTTGGTGAGTCTGATTTTGTTCCAGAGGAGCACTTGATCAAAAGAAGGTAATCAAACTTTGTAGGCTGCTCCGAGTTGTCGTGAAATTTAGCAGGTCTGAATGATTTGAGGGAAATATCCAATTTCAATTACAATCATTTTCCCAATCCATGTAGGACATTGAGATTATTTTCAAGCTACAGGCCTGTGTGTTATTTCTAACTGATGATATCTAATTGAGATAAGTTAGCAAGTTAACACTGCTGTTGACAGGTCTGCACTGCAGTTGCTTGAAGCAACATTAACTTCACACACTAAAAAAGTGGCTTAAATCTAGAACCTTGCTGTGAGGTGAAAGTGTTAACCACTGCACCACTGTGACTTTGCTTAACTGTGGAACTTTCAGCAGATATATTTCTGAAGCCCTCAATGCTACTGCCTGGAGGATTTACATGATAATTAAGATCACTCTTCAAACTCAGTTTTCCCACTATGATGCAGCTAACTGTCAGCTAACAACCTAAAAACTCTCTGGTGGAATCGATGACCCGACTTGATGAACTTCAAAGGGCCTGATAAGGAAGACGACAGACGGAAGTCTCTTTAATGGGTTACAAATGATGCACTAATGTTGAAACTAAATCTTACCAACACTACTATCTACAGTACATAAACACTAAGGGCCTTTCATAAAAAATAAATGAATGCACTGTAGATGTTATTGTAGTATTTTCTTTTCAATTTATTTGTTCAATTAATATTTGTTACTTTTTTCTTCCCAGCATTGTTCTTGGCTCTTCTACACATTCCCACCATGGTGGAGGCAATGTATTTGTGGATTTATGGTATTGTACTATTGTAGTAACTCCACCAGTGTGCATTTAGAAGATTAAGAAAGTGAAAAGAAAAATAAATAATGTAATGTAGGTAAATACTAGTTAGCTATCGATTGTACAAAGGCTTTAGGGGACCCTCTAAAACCTACTGTAAGATGTGAAAAGGTTTTAAGTATGTTTTAAGACAAATTAACTACTCTAATACAAAAAAAACATACAGTATTGTCTGCAGTTGTTTAATGTAATGGTTTCTATTTCCTGTGCGTATAAGATATTGCTCATATTGTAACAGATATCATTCATATAGAACGGTTTCAGTTTGTGTCACTGTATACGTACATACATCCTGTTCCAGGCAGAGAAAAGGTCTCTGACATTTGCTTCTACCAGTACCCATCCACTGATATTTGTAGGACTAAATATCATAATGACCAGAAGATATTATTTTTGATGTTAATATAAAAGGTACTGGTCATTTCCAGTTGGCATATCACAATTCTGGGTGTCTTCATTAAATGATTAATCAAATTAATGTTTTTGGTTGGTTAATAAAGAAATATGCAATTTTGCATCATTTTGCACAATTATTATTACCACATCTGTGAATAATAAGTTGGAAAACCTAGAGCAGATATTGAATAAACTACACCCCAAAAGCTAAACTTGCAAAAGAAGTATACTGAGTAGGAACTATAACCATTAGATGTGGGAAACGTCATCTTGTTAGTTTTGATGCTCTCCTCAACGAGTTTACACTCATGGCACAACATGCAAGCTGTTTTAAGCCTCACCACCTAAACCTTATAATGGCAGGGGAACTCCTGTTAATATGACCTCAGAATCATTAAAGATACAATTGTTCATGTTTGCCTTTTGTGTAAAAACCATGTAAGTTTTTGTGTGTACATGTTAGGACAACACTTACTGATCAAGGGCCTTGTAGTAAAGATCCAGGTCTTTAATGACCAGCTCGGTGGTCCTCATTGTGATCATCTTGTTTTTGTAGAGCTCATCAGCTTTGTCATACTGATCTTCTCGCAGCTCTTTTCTGCAAACGGTTAATTCAAAGAACAAGTTCATACAATAAAACATGGCATAAAAGCAGGATTCATTAATAGTGACACTGGTCAGCCTTAGAAACTAAATTGGAGTAATAATAAACATCTCAGCTGAATTAATTTAGGCTCTCTGTTCTGCATAAAGCCAGTTGATCTGCATGTCTCACCTGTAATGCAGTATCTCCTCCTCAAAGCCTTTCTTACGACCCAGTGCAATACTGCGGTTCTTCTTTAAGTCTTCGAACTTGCATTCCGCATCACGCCGTTCTCTGGACAAACACAGAAAGCGGTGAGGAGAAAACACAGTGGCTAACTTCTAGTAATTTTACCAGCCTGATCATGAGTAACCTTCACACACCGCAAGCTTCTGTGCAGCTTGGTTCTCTTTTATAACTTCATCAATCTACGGGACTTACGAACGATTTATAACTGTGTAGTGTTCTTACTGGCGTAGCTCCAAAACTTGCATGTTGCCCATGTCTTTCAAAAGAGCCTCGCGTTTTGCCACAACCTCCTTCAACTCCTTAACACGCTTCCTCAAGGTGAGGTTGTCCTGCAACCAGCGCTCCCGGACCTAAAAAATATAAACAAGTTAAAAACATATTAACTACTAACCAAAGTGTTGTGCAACTAGAGTGCCATGTCCTTACAGGTTCCCCTCAGTGCACGACTGACTTGTATACTGTGATGTGACTAAATGGCTAAGGACAAAGTGGTTTGCACAGTAATCAGAGTGGACGAGCAGGGTAGGTGTTCATGGTCAACACTGATAAAGGCCACAAGCCAAACGGCTGGCCGTCAATAAAGTTCTTTTTAATGTTTAAAGCATGAAGTTTTTACCCCGTCAGACTTCTTCCCTTCTCCATGCAACTTGTAAGTAGGTGAAGTTGTGCCAGATACCCAGACTCATCTGGGTGTTTTACAGCACATTGTTTCCTGCTGGATTACTTAATAGATTCAAAACTGGATGCAACACTGACTGTTAAAATTAATAACTAAGGGTTTATTGGCCCCAACCAGCAGAATGGTGGCATGAACTTACAACTTTATTTAAAAACCAGAAGAAAAGAGGCAGAAACATGAAGACAATGACCCAGCTGGCTGTACCTTTTGAGTGTCTATGTCCTGGCGGATGTTTCCCATCTCTTTGTTGATCTTCTCTTTAGACTTCTCAGCCTCATGGAGCTGAGTGTTGGTTTCCTGAAGCTCAGACTCTTTTTGCTGCAACAACAGACAAGTTGTTCAATACTTTCAAAAATAAATAACCCAACACAATTACAGCCAAGATTCTACATCTGATACCAAAGAAAACAATGACAAAATGATCAAAGCTGTGTTTTCAGCGTGTGAATGAAGACAACACACATTTACCTTTCACGATAACCATATATATGTACTGTCCGTCACAAAATGACCCACGGAGGATGGTATGATAATGGAAAACATGTTACCTCTTTGTATTCGTCTTTGCTGTCATCAACGTATTTGGTAATGTCTCTTTCCAAGGTGGTGATCACCTTCACTCTCTCGTTAATGGCATTGATCTGTCAGTGACAAAGTGTGATTAGATTAGGATTATAGCAGACAAAGTTTAAAAATGCTTTTAGTCCATCATTAGCCTTTTTTCTGTTGCCTAATTTGTTGTACACTCATAATCTTACTTCTGTCATTCTCAGGAAATGTGACTTGGCTGATATCATGTTAGTAGTTAAGTTTATTAACTATAAAGCCAAAACAGTAGGTATTTTTTATAACTGTCCAGTCTTTTTAATATAATGCTGACTCACTGTTGAATATTATTGTTTCACTATTAAAATATATCCTGTGGTAAAATGTAGGGGAAAAGAAACTCCTGCTCTTGTTCACCAAAAGAGGAAAGAGAATGCAAAGAGGAGGATATAATCTCCTATGTCTAATAAAACGTGTGTTGTTGGTGAATTTCTGCAGAGTTTTCAGTACAGAGAAAGAGAACAGTGAAAGGGAGATAAAAGTGAGAATGTGTCTACCTTCTCCTGCCCCTCTCCCTGCCTCAGCCTCTTGCGTTCCACCAGCTCCTGCTTCTCCTGTTGCAGCTTCTCCAGAGCAGAAGATAAAGGGGACAGCTGTTCCTTCGCTTCCTGGTTGGACACAAAGTCAGAGGAAAAGAGATAATGTTACATGTTTCAATAGCACAGACATTTTTTTCCCGCATCTAGTCTTGCCAAATAGAAAAAAAGAAACGGCAAACAATAACTTCAAATAGAAACCGATCAACTGAGAGGTGTAAATTAAAGTAAATTAATGCGGTGCCCCACATTGATATTATTCAAAAATGATACTGGATGTATATTTAAAATCTGTGCAAATATGATGTGCAAAATGTGCATTGCAATTCTCATTAACACATCTAGAGGGTGAACTTGAACTTCAAAACATGAAAAGTGCAACCACTACAAAACATTGTGTATCCTCAACATCAGCATCTTACAAGAATTTAGCTTACATAAACAAAAACTTTAAAATGTACCCTGATTTCTCTGGTTAAGGCCTGTATTTCAGTGGTGAACTCCACACACTGCTCCTCCAGCTGCTGCTGTTTCTGCATATCACTGCTCAGCTGGAGTTTCTCTGCTCTCTTCTCATTCACAGCACTTTTCAGCGTCTGAATCTGATCCTGCTGGTCCTGGATCAGCTTACGTTTCAGCTCCGTCTTACTGGAGGCTGCAAGGACACAAGCAGGCAGGGACGGAGACAGAAAAATCTTACAATTGCTTCAACACCATTCCCTCTTCCATCGGACTCCTGATGAAGTCAACACTGCACTGCATGTGCAGATGTGCATAAACCGCTGGGGACCAACAACTGATCTTAAGAGCAGATGTTTTCCAAAGCATACAATTTGCTGTTAAATTAATTGTGGATTTAATGACGTAAGCATCTAAATGGTAAAAAAGTGATGGTGCCTGAGAAGATAGGACAAACACAATTCCTCCAATTCTGAACCTATTGTCTACAAAATGGACTTTGAAATTTGTCACTGTGCTCTGCATTCAGCTCCACTCGTTGAATGGAGAGCACAAAATCTATAACACAAAGACCACTGACAGCTCTGAGTGCTCCTAGATTGTTTTGTTACATATAATCAGGGAATGCTTTATTATGTGTTATTTTGTGGACAATGAGGCAAGTGGAATAAAAAAAAAGTCTATTCATTGAAATGGAAACCAATAATTCATCAAGGGCTTACATGTATTTGTATCTAAACTTTTTTTTATAAACAAAGACCAAAATTGCAACACAAAAGTCCTTGATCTCGTCTGGCGGATCCGAGAGACAGAACCGCGACACACCCGCTCATTGGACTGTTGAGCTCTCATTAAGACAGAGCAACCATGGCGGCGGCTGGGCTCGGTAGCGGTGTATATTGTAGGCTATTTGTATTAACAGTAGGTTAGTGTAGGTCATTTTCCACCTTATAGTTTAGTGTTTATTTACTTGAATCTGCTCCTCTGCTCTTCTCCCCACACTCACACACACCTAGTCTGCACCTCTGGTCTCTCACAGCAAACATGCCGTAGGTGTCTCAGCTGACTTTCTCCATCAGCAGTACATTTCATTAAGTCGCCTTGTTTAATAAATTCACCTGTGATTCAGTTTTCAAGTGCGCCGCATGTGGATCAAAACTGAAGCTTAACGTTAGTGAGTGACATCTGCAGTGGTGTGTTCACTGTCGCTCCGTAATGTAACATTTCCTGCTTGTCCATTAACGTAATACCAGATGACCACTCCCTCACCGTTTCTCTGCAAAATGCTAAAGTGGTTTCTAAATATACTTTGGCAGGTGCAGCTATACCTGTCCGGCCCGCCCAAGTAAAGTATATGTTAAAAGCACTTAGTGCAAGCTGTAGGCCTATATTTTGTAAATATTACACCTTATAACCCCCTTTTCTTGGTATTAAAACAATACCAAGAAACAAAACACCAGGAGACTGTTGGTGAAGGCCAACCAAGAGCTGGCATTGATTTACACAGAGCCATGGAGGTGTCATTTGACTCGATTTGTTCGCTATTAGTAAGTAATTACATAATATTTTTCTGTGTGCGTGTTTTGTCAGCTGTTGGGGGAGGCTCAGCTTTTCTTAGATCAAAGTAGGGGGGGCGCCAAGGAAAAAAGGTTGGGAACCACTGATCTAGAAGATTCTTTTGATTTTTCTTTTTTTTTTTGAACTTAATGGTGTTTATGATTATGTGGCTTGACACTGCTTTGAAACAAGTTCACTTTAACCTGATTATTTACACCTCTTTGATTATCTTTGACTTTTGATCACAAGAGATGATTATAATGGGGTGGTGATGGCACAATGGATAAGATGCCTGCCTTTGGTGTGAGAAACCCGGGTTCAACTCCCCACTGTGACCCATGCACCAATGTGTCCCTGAGCAAGCACTTAACCCCTAGTTGCTCCAGAGGCATGCAACCTCTGACGTATATAGAAATTGTAAGTCGCTTTGGATACAAGCGTCAGCTAAATGAATAAATGTAATAGATACGTTTTGGGCGTTCACCTTCATTCTTACTTCAAAATTTAGAGTTATGATAATTAAGGTGATCTTCTGTTGCTTTGTATACTACATTAGTAAGCTGTCTGATGACTTTGGCCCCATATCTCAGCAATCAAAGTAAAAATGAGTAAAACAACAGTCATGGAAAAACTGCAACATAAGACCCAGACCGTAAGAAAACGGAATTTCCCTCTAAGTGGGTGTATGATGATATCTTACTGGTGTCTAGCCTGTATTGGGTTTCCTGTTTCTCCTGGCTGACTTGCTGGATGGTTCTGGTTAGGTCTACTCCCTGGAGTTTGGTTGCATGCTGAGCTATTTTTCTCTCTACCTCTTTAAGGTCCATCTGGAAAGAAAACAAATACAGTAAGGTGAAGAAAGACAGGGGAGAAGGGGTGTATATCAATTTCCAGAAATTTGCAATGAGTTAGTAGTGAAACAAGCAGGAGAAGGGTACCAGGTATCTGTCCATGAGAGATATATCCTGCAGGCAGGCCTTGGCTGTTTCCTCCTCTGACATCAGGGTACCAAGCAGAGTCTCCTGCTCCTCCACATCGCCCTTTAGCCTCTCGATTTCCCTGTTCACAGTCTGCAGGCGGTTTCTCAACTCAGGCAACTCCTTTTCCTGAAGCTGTACAATGGACTGCCTGGGAAGCATGAAAGAGAGAAGAAGGAGGTGTATGTTACATTTATTTAGATACTATTATCCAACATTCTCTTATCTTTGTCTCCCTGCAGTGATTTAGGGAACAGTTTTGTTTGAGGCCTCCTGTTGATGGATGAAAGCTCATGTTTTAACACACCCAGATAACCTGTGAAGATTCTCAGTCATCTGGGTACAAGGAGGGTTAAAGTTAAGGGCAACTCGACTTTTAGTTGCCCTTAACTTTAAGCCACATAATTTGTGAAGTATGTAGGATTGGCTGTCCAGAGGGTACACCTAAAACTATCTTTAAGGTATTTAAGGTTCATTCTTAACCTTGGAAATGACAGTTACTGCTCAGGTCATGAAAAACCAGTGGAGAGGTCAAGAGATAAAATCTGCAATCATATGAGATTCTAGCTCCATCTAGTGGGGCACAAGTCATAAAACCTGTGCTCAACTCTATTAAAACACACAAAGCAGAGAAAGGACAAGAAGTTATGCTCTTAATTGAGAAACACACACCAATTGAATTATACAAGATTTTTGCTCTACACAAATAAGTGTGCACACTCACATAAGTGTGAATGGGGTAAAGAGGCAAATCACAAAATACACAGATTATCTATTTAGCATAAAACCATGAAAATAACATCTGCATTGTCCTGCAGTAACAGACATTTTTAGAACAAAGATTTAGTGTTTGTCCTTCATGTTCATTTCCATGAATCAAATTCAGAATAATAATCGTGTGGTACACAGTTCAATTCATCCCCCTTTTCTCTACATGCCATACTGCTTGAATGAACACAGAGTTGTACATCTATTTTTAGTGTGACAAGCGAGTCAACATCAGGGATTTGTTTTGACAATTTTAGTTTACTTTTAAATTGTCTTGGTCATGGGTAATTCATGTACCCTAGTGCAAGACTCTCAAACGGATTTATGTGTAAATGTTGTTATGGACGCAGCAAATGACATGTCCGAGCCTTCCTAAGAGGGTGCTGGTTTTAACTTGTGCTTTATATAATAACTCTGCTTCCTTGAGGTAGTGCCAACCTGATACTTGTTTTTAGTCTGAGGCCTTTAAGTACAACTGTGAGAGTGAATGGCTACGCTCAGAGTGAAAATACCTACAATAACTGCATACATTTTAGACAGTTTCTCCATAAAAGGTATAATCTAACATCCTATATATTTTGTCACCACACCAGGCCAACGGCTGCGTGAAGTGAATGCGCTTGTCGGATTTGGAAAATGACTCTACTATTAGCAATCCAACATGCACTTTGTTCGAAGCACACTGACATTTTTAGTTGCAGGTCTATTTGATAGTACATAAAAAATGATTATACTGCAGGTTTCTCCATACCTAGGGGGGTGGCGATGACATAATGGATAAGACTATGCTTTTGGTGTGAGAGACCCGGGTTCAATCCCCCACTGTGACCCATCCACCATTGTGTCCCTGAGCAAGACACTTAACCCCTAGTTGCTCCAGAGGCGTGCGACCTCTGACATGTATAGCAATTTTAAGTGGCTTTGGATAAAAGCGTCAGCTAAATGAATAAATGTAAATGTAAATACCTGACAGGTCTAAGACTCATCATGTCATCCTTCTTCTTCTCCTTCCTCTTCAGGTCCTGCTCTGTGTTTTTCAGCTTATCTGGCACCAGGCGGAGTTTGGACTGCATGTCATTGATAACCTCCTGCAGATCAGACTCTGAGGGGAATGTCCGCTGGCACACAGGGCAGCAGGGCTCTCTCTCCTCTGTCAGTTGGCTGATGAACTGGGTGTACACTGCTGTAGCTCCAGCGAGCATGGCTATAAAAACACAGGTGGAGGGAGAGAGAACAAATGTAAATGAGCACATACATAACTTCAACTGCTTGAACTCGAACAGTAGATGTGTGCATTAGGTTTGGACCTATAGACGATGCCATCGTCCATCGGCAATCAACGTTGAACCGGCATCGTGATTGTAAAACCCCCGCCCTGCAGCAAAAAACCCCTTAAATTTTCACATTATACCACCCTGTGAAAGCAGGTTTTAATGACCACGAACATTCTTATTGTTGTTTTTAAGTATGCTTTGCACCTGCCTCGGAATTCTCTTCTCCCCACACTCTGAAACACTCCCACACACCTACACCTCAGGTAAACACCCCAGCTTGCCCCGCCTCTCTGTCTCACTCCCCCATCTGCTCCACTTTCTCCATCAGCAGTATGTTTTATAAAGTCGCCTAACAGACTGAGAACTTTTTTATATATATATTTTATGTTATATTTCCACCCGCGATCCGTTATCACGGCAGCAGGTGAGCCGCACGTAATGACGTAGCCTATCCAACAACTGAATCTAACTGTTGCTTTACCTGGTCCGTGCGTAAAATATCCACTGCGACCACGACTTGTAATGTAAGTTAATAGTCAACCAATTTGTGCGAGAACACATGCACATCAGACGACTGCTGCGCCCCCCCGCATCGTGTGTGTGCCCGCGAATCTGATCACATCATCCATCCCGATGTCTCATTGCAGACATCGTCCGATGGAAATTTTGTAGACATCGCCCAACCCTAGTGTGCATCTTCACTGGTCTCATGATTCGATTACAATTATCAGGTCAACAATTCAATTCGATACCTCAATGCATCACAATGCATAACCTCAAGGATGGGAATTTCTAGGCACTTCATTATGATTATGAGGGCCACGATGCGGTTGTAAAATGAATAGGATAAAGATGTATTATTCTCACTGAGCAACTACTTGGTACTTTAAAAGCAAAGTATTTGTAACAATTCAAACAAGCAGTTAGTAATGAAATGCAGATATTTAATGTTACTTCATATAAATGTAGCTAACATTGCATAGCATTATTACACTATTACAGCTTTATTACTGACCTCTGCTGCTGCTATTTTTTTTTTTGTCTCATCTAGTGTAGTTTCATGTTGTCTTGCAAGTTGATTATTGTAATCTTGTACAGAGCACCATGGGCCTTGAGAAACAGCATTTCGCTCGTTTGTGTACTCGATATGTGGATGAATGACAACAAATGAATATGAACTAACAGCCAAATCAAGTCCTGCTCAGCTTCCAGACCACAGTCTGAATTTGGAAATCTGAAGACTTTAATTACAGCCAGACTGAAACGCAGTGCTCATATTTTCCTCTGCCCCACTCGCTTTCACCGTCACCTACTGCTGCCTGTCACGTAGCGTCCCTCTGAAGAATGAGGACGCAAGCTAAGTGCTACCGTGCTGCACACTGTGCGGGCATTGATTTTATTGATCACGTGAAAGTTTAGTTGTGGCAGGCAGTCAATCAACAGCTCCGGACAGGCAGTCCGGAGTTGCACTTCTGCATTTCCGAGTTCCACCTTTTTCGTTCCATCAACATTACACTATGAATTAACCTCTAGATAATCGTAATGACATTTGTGAATCCATTCATAATCATCCGCATCGCGACGCATCCAAAAATCTATTATTTTCCACACCCCTGTTGAACACTGGACTACTTTTACAGTCTACACCAAGAAGCTCCTTCTAATTTCTATTTTGAAGCATTCACCTCTTTGTTTGGAGACCTTCTCCAGATCTTCTTGCAGTTTGCTCAGGTCCTGCTCCAGATCCTGACTGCCACACACATTGAAGAACTTCTCTTCATCATTGGCTAACTGCTGCTCCTTCTTCCGTACCTCAGCAGTAATGTGGCTTTTATTCTGCTCACTTGATGCCAGGTCCTTACTGAGGATAATGAAAATCATGAGATAAAACTAGTGAGTGCCACAGAAGGTGATTTTTTTCTCCAAAATTTCTGTTCCCATAAGTGAGCTTGAATGTAAATTTAATCTTGCTAACTTGAGTTTGGCAAGTCTGTCTCTTGTACTGTTGATTTCCCTAGACTTGGCATAGATCCAGTCCTCCAGCTCTCTCTTGTTGGGAAAGTGGCCCAGCAATAACACCAGATCCTCGCTGTGACGAGACTTGATCTTACGTACCTGTTCCTCCTTCTCTGTCTGGAGGAACGAAAGAGAAAAGATGAAAGCAGACCCAACAAAGAAAGGGAAGATGACAAGAGCAGTTAAGGAACAAGGGGAAAGATGAAGAGGAAAAGCAGAGAGAGTAGTGTGATGCACACAGGGTTATATTAACACCAGCAAGGGTAAATCCATTTTACTTAGAGAGAAGAAGCAATAGTATAGTAGAGCAATGTGTGTTTCTATTTTTTTTAATAACAAAATATTAGTTTTTAGCACTATTATTTATTATTATAATGTGAGAGGCTGAAGTCTGATGCCAGAGAGGTTGAACACCAGTTTCTGTCCAGTGAACCTAGGTTGCACACTACCTTGTCCTTTTTCAGCATGTCCATCTCCGTGCGTGCTTTAGTGTGTGTGTTGAGCATCTCCATCTCTTTGTCGAGCTGTCTCTGTGCGCGGTCAAGTTCAGCCTTTTCTCTCTGGAGCGCCAGGACCTCCGCCTTCAGCTCCTCAATGTTGGCACTCCGAACTGCACTCTGCAGCTCACGCTCCTGGAGAGGAAAAAACACACACACACACACACAGTAGGTAAATCAGAACACATGGCACATTAGGATAAAAGGGGAATGTATGTTATGTTTGAGTTTGAGATTTTGCAATGAATTCAGGGGTTTATACCATTATTTATACCATTTTTGCTAGAGAAATACTACCTTTAAAAAACACATAAAATATGGACAAAGGGAAAAAAGACTGACAGAAAGAAATCCATGTAAGCCACTGCCAGCCAGTGACACTCCATGACATCCATATAGCTGACCCTTATACAGTATTTTACAAACATATCCAGCAAGGTAGGGAGAGTGACTTAAACAATAAATTTAAACAAAATAAAGATCAAGCAAACACGCAGTTATACACACTTAGCATCTGTTGAAATCCACACCACCTAAGAAAACCTCATCACAGCCACTGCGTGTATACACACCACTTTAGCCAGTTCAGTCTCCAGTTCTTGCAGTCGGCTAGATGAACCCTCCAGCCTCTGCAGCCCTGCCCTGATGTTCCTTAGTTCTTGCTGCTTCTTTCCCTGCAGGTCTCTCTTCAACTCCACGGTTCTCTCCAGGCCAGTCTTCTTATCCCTCATTTCATCAATGGACTGCTGCTTCTGCTGCTCCTTTTCCTGCAGGTCTGCCTAAGTGGGTAGAATAAGAAGAGGAAAAAAATCAGGTAGTACGAAAATGAACAGCACATTTATTTATGATCTGACTGTTACCGGGAGTCTTTCTTGCAGGTAGGTTTGCAAACTTAAGAACAATGTACAATAGCACAACTGTCGATTAGCATTAAATACCAGGGCTGCAAAAAGTACAATAGGTATGAATAGAGCTTTTGTGATTGATCTTAAACAATATTATTAAATAATTAGCAACAAATCAATTAGTAACAATTCAATTATAACATTATAATGCAATCATCAAGAATGCGTACATCAAAACTATGAAATGATTAAGATGGTTAGAATATGACGTTCCAGCTGGTTATGTGATAATATTGCGTAAAAGAAAGCGAAAAATGTGAGGGGTGAAAAAATGCCCATAAATGACTGAGCAAATTAATGACATCCAGGAACTCTGGGTTACTGGATCTTGATCAAGGCCTATTAGATTATAGTTTACAGATCTTTGGGGGCAAAACAAATGGTATTTATTTTTTTATAACTGATCATCAAAATATCAAACTGATTCACTCCTGACAATGATAACGGTCACGTCATGTCAGTGTTATAAAAAAATTATATACAGCATGAGGAGAACAAGAGCTTACTTTCGGTTGTTTTCAGAAACCAAACAGAGCATTTCTCACCAAAACCTGACTGACTGTCTCCTTTTCCTGATCCAGTCTCTGTGTGACGTGACTATGAAAGCTCTCAAGCTGAAGAGTGGTGAAGGGTGGTCGGTCATAACCCTCCATCTCCAGATAAGACGACAAAGAGCGAACCTGAGAAAGAGAAATGCAAGTAATTATTGTGGATGAAATGGTTAGCGGTTTAATGATAAACCACGGTAGAATAACTGTTACAAACTGAATTATCATTATACCCATATTCGATTACCACTCATGGTATATGCTGTCCAGCATCAACCAAAGTTAGCCACATTTTACAACACACACAGGCGCGCATGTGCAGCGTGCAATGTGGGTTTGTTTGGGTGAATGACAACATGGTGGAACGCAGTTCACCCAACAACGAACAGAACACCGGAGGAGAAGTCTAGAAGACGAGTTCTATTTTTTTTCGTTGATTTTATACAACAAGAGACAGCTGTTTGTGGGTTCCTGGTGTGTGTGTGTCGCATTGAATATTACGTTGCGGCAGTTGTGTGTGGCGTTGCTATGACGACCAGCTAAATTGAGTGGCGCTATCTCTGGGTACTATCTGCAATGGAAAACGGAGGACAACCAAACCGAGTTGAGTCAAGCCGAGTCGAGCTGGTACTGGTAATGGAAAAACGGCATAAGAAGCGGAAAACGCTGACGTGTTTGCAGCAGAGGTACGTTAGGTCTGTGAGTGTGAAGAGAACTGAAGGAGGCAAATTCAATAAGTGACCTCGATGGAAACAAGAGCTAGATGCATCTTATCCAAACAATTAACAGTGTGTTCAGTGCTGTAGTACAAGTGACTAGAGGTAGATTTTCCTCTCTCACCTGACTGTCGCGGTTCTTGATGTTTTGAGTGTGGCGGTCAGCCTCCAACTGTAAACGACCTGGAAAAAGAGAGGTTATTATTTTCATATTGTTTGTACATGTTATTTCTAAGACCTACGAACTGTGAGCGTGTGTCGAGCTAGAGAGCGTGATACCTGATGGCGAAAACCATTTGATTAGCGTCCTTGGAGAGCGGAATGAGGTATGAAAGAAAATGTGTCTAGTGTATTATTATCAGAAGGGATTTTGTTTAAGGAAAGGAGAATGTCATTACTTCATTTGTTTATGGGTTAAGTGCACATGTCATCAATATAAAAGCAATATTATTTCTGTGAACAATTATAATATATTGTATTTCATTTAAAAGCATGTGATATTTATTTGTCATAAAGGCTTAAAAACATTTCATTTCATATTCATATTGGTTGTTAGTTAAAATGATTTGTATTGTGTGTAAACATGATTAATATGTGAACACAATTTATGTGCAAATTATTTGTAAAGCTACATAGAAGCCTTTTGTATTTCTTCTGTTTTATTCTGTAGTTTTCACGGTGTTCATGGTGCATGGTGCACGTTGAGAGGAATAATAAATCGACACCCGTTTGAAACTCTCTGCGTCTTGATCAATAAATCCAAGGGGCCGCTACAGGGAGAGCAGCTTATTTAATCTTCAGAAAATCTCTCTGTTTATCCACCTGTCTGCCCATCCTTCCTTTTCAATCAAATTATTTGATTTTATTTCTAGCATAGTATTTCAAATCCTTCCAGGACTTGTTTCTAGGGTGGATTCTGATGTTCTGCCAGTACACTCAAGGATATATGCTATCAAAAAATGTTGCAACAAAAAGAAACAGAATATTCTATTGTTAAAAGTTGATTATTTACCCTGTTACACAGACCGATAAGTGTGCATGTGTGTGTACCTTGTTCTACCAAGAGATCAGCCTTGACTCTGTTGAGTCTCTGACACTCCCGCCCAGCTCTCTCCAGCTCCTTCTGGCAGTCATTCAATCTCCGCTCTTTCTCCTTCACCGTCCTCTGGTGGTTCTGGTAAATGTCCTGTAGCTGCTCATCTGAACCCTGGAACACCTGCCGTATACACAGTTCACTGGCTTAGAGTGGCTCTAAAGATCAATGAGTACTGCTGAGCAAACTGTCAGAGGTTTGACTCCACAAAATATATGCACCCGTAGATATTTAAAAGTGATTTGGATAAATAGACACAGCTTTGCTGATTTATATGTTCCTTGTTTGAAAACATGAAACATACACATCATACACATAAAAGAGCATTCAGCTGCTGATGCTTTCACTCTCTCAAACTAAAACAAACCCTTTTAAATGCCGACACAAATACAAGTAAGAAGCACCAAACAGATGGAAGGAAAAGATTCCTGGCGCCTGTAAGGCAGAGGAGCACAAACATCCAGCATTCGTAAAAGACATTCATATCAATCCAGGCCAGTGATGGACTGCCTTGTCATTACAGAATTACAACAACCTCATTCACCATCTGCAGTTTTTCTAATAGTTTCCCATTTAAGTGAATGATACTTCATACAGAGTGGAGTGTGGGGTATTATTAAGCAGGTGTTTAGCTAAATAAACCCTCAGAGCGAGAGGGACGAATGGGGAGCCCTGCTGTGTTTTCCTCTTTTTAACCTCATCTTTGTTAATGCGATTCATTTTCTATCCCATTCTTTTTTTCTTTTTTTTTTTTATCCATCCTTAATTGTCATTCAAGCACTTTGTCAGGTTTCCCAAAAACATTTTAGCCAATGTGTTGCCAACATAATTAGTGATATCTATAGAGGGTGAGAAGTGATTTTGGTGCTGGAATCAGTGTTTCCTTCATTCATTCATTTATTACATACGTTTATGTTACCTGTTCCATTGTCTCCTCCAGTTCCTTGTTGTCCTCCTCCATCTGTTTCTTCCTGCTGTCTAAGGCCTTGATGTCGTTGTCCAGCTTCATCACGTTCCCCAGTTTCATGTCAATATCTGCCAGTTGATTCTGAACATTATAAAAATTTATTAATAACAAAGGGACAGTGCTGTTATACTTCTTACATGCCTATGCCAATACACACAGTGATCATCCAGTTGACAAAATTCTCTTCTTTTAAGACATGCAGAACATCTAACAAAGCTGTTCTTTTCTTTCTTCTTTTTTTCAGAGCAATAGTAATATCTAGTGCTGAAACTTGTACTTGACTTGACAATTTGTGTAACTAATTGTTAAAATATATTTGCTTATTACAGCTGTAAAATTAAAACATTAATTTTTCTCTGTCACTATGATAACTTGACTTGTAATGGGGACCTACCATTATTTTGACATTCAATAGTGTATAAAAATATTTTAAAAAAGTTAAAACGACAGTTAGTTACAGCTCTATTTAAATCATATCAATGTTTTACTGTAAGAATCTTCCGGAAAACAAAGGTCCTAAACAGCTCGCTTTATTGTTAGACATGCCCATCTATTCTGTCATTTAAGCAAATGTCACGATTGACAGTCTACTATCAAATACTGTGTTAGAAGTGAAAAATACATCATACAATAACAATACTCATACAAAGAAACATTGCTTACACAACTTTACACTAAACTCCAGGAGTGTGTGTAATCTCACAATGCTAAAAAGATCTGGACATATTAAAGAAAATTAGCTGCACTACACTATCGTCCGTTGGCTTCATCATGATATGGAGGATTTTAAAATCTGACATTCCAATATATCGGCAGCTATTCTTTTTATTTTTCTTCGTTTTAGAAACACAAACATAAACAAAGATTATCCCTAACATGTGTTATGCGCAATTATGAGACCTCACCAAGATAACATAATAATGCAGTTTTAAATAAACTCCAAGGTTCAGCTGATTGCTGAGTTTTGTGGTTCGTGTTCCAACAAGGGAGTTTCAGAGTGCCCCTGGTGGACAAACTATGCAACGATAACACAAATCTTCTGTCTCTCTGTGTTTTTATTGTCATTTATTAGCCGTTATTAACACCAATATCAATTAATCTGTAATTAGCTCATATCAGCATGCAAATGTATCAGTTGTGCTCTAATGTATATCAACATGCACCAGTGTTTCCCATTCTCATTTATTTGTGGCGTCCCGCCACAATATCAACGCTGACCGCCACAGATTGTTTTTCGATTTTTTTTTACTAGGCCTTTTTAAAATCAAATTTGATTGCAGAGCAACGTAGCGTATTCGTGCAGCAGATCTTCTTGCTTGTCCCTCTCTCTTTCTCCTTCTCCCTCATGAACACAGCTGCATAAATCTGTCCAACACAATGCTGTCAATGTTGGAGACTCAGTTTAAAAAAGTTAGCAAGAATGTAAGGAGCCTAGCCTAGTTTTTGAGACTTGCACACTGTATATAGGTGATAGTCAATATCGAATGCATGCGCAACCCCCCCGTCATTCTGTGGGAAACACTGTGCGCACACACACATACATTTTCAACCAACCTCCAGTGGAGCAATCTGGCTCTCTATCTTCTGGATGAGGTCTTCAGAGACCCTCAGCTGAGCCTGCTTGTTGGCTACAGTCTCTCTAATCTGCTGGGCTTTCTCCTTGTTCTGCTTCAGGTAGCGCAGCTCTACCTGACACTCTTTGACTGTGTGACTCTGTTTGAGACGCAGCTGACGCATCGTCTCCAGAGCTTTGATGTACCTGCGAGAAAGATGATAGTAAATAGTGATACAAAGTGTCCCTTCTAATGGCAATATCTGAATGGCATACGTCAGCCCATGTTTGCTTGGTATTCATTTCAGGTCACATGATGCTTAGACAAACATGTAAGAATGAGATGGCTTTACTTGGTTGCAGCAAAGATGGAGTCAAACTTGTCTTTGAGTGCTTTGCCCTCGCTTAGTGGCCAATTGGACTCTTCTTGGTGACAGAAGATGACATGATTCAGCACAGGCTTCGACACACCCAGTGAAGAAATCATCTCCCGATCCAGTTCACCACACTTGGATGACAAGCTCACCTTCTCACCATCTCTAGATTAATGATGTTGGAGGTCACATGTAAAGAAAGGGGCCATGCCAGATTTTTTTAAAAATTTAAACAAAAAATTTGAAAAGAAACCTAAGACCATGGCTTACTTAATTCTGGTAATGACCTGCTCCAAGCTTTTGAAGGAGTAGTTCTTTGCCTTCTGTGTGCAGGACATTGAGCGCTGGATTGTCACTTTCTCTCCGTTGACGTCTGTGAATAACAGCCGAATCTGTGCTCGCACGTCCGTCTCATGGGCGTCCTGGAATTCACACAGCATGAATTGACTGTAAGAAAAGATCCTCATCTGAAAGGGACTTGAAAGAAGCGCTCTACTACAATTAATAACAAGAACAGAAAAGGATAATGAGACCTTTGATTTTTTTTGTTTTTTGTTCATATTTTACCTATTTTACCACTATTTTCACAGTGTTTCTGACAGAATAACCATTTTAATTCTACACCTTTTTTTTGTTGAGTGTTTACTCATTTAAGCTTAGTTCACATTACACAATTTTTAGCCCAATTTGCCGCTTGGTGACCGTCAGGGCTGTGATCGGGGGTAAATCAGCACCGACATCTGCCAGATGCTTGCCAAATATCTGGAGCAACCGGCCGTATCGACATCCAGCCAATGAGAGCAGGCAGCTGGCAGAGCAGGCAGCTACTTTTTCTACTGCAAAACACTTTTTACTCACTTCCAGCTCACTCTGTAGCTCAGACAATCCCTGCTACCTGCGTGTGCTAATTTATTCTTTCACCCATATTCTTTGTCTTTATAATTGGTATCTTTATAATAACAAACAGCTGTTTTATGTGTAGGTTCGCGTCATTGCTTTACCTGGGACGCGCTTGTTAGTATTCACCGTATCCAGATCTAGTAACATAATACCAGAAAACATCTCTTCCCGTTTCTCTGCAAAATGCTAAAATGGGTCGCCAAATATACATTGGTGGCCATTAATATACCTCGACGGCCCGCCCAAGTCAAGTCTATATGTGGGAAAAGCTTCAAATTAACGTTCATTCTTTAACTGATCTCTAATCCCATGACAGGATTTATAGTATATATATTTCTTACATTCCAATCTTTTTTTTTAGCACAGCTACAGAGGAGTTACAAATCTCATTATTAACAGATTTTTTAAATATGTTTGATGCATACTGCAGCTCTGAATGCTTAAAATTCTTCTTTTATTAGGTTAGAATTTTTAATCGCGATTACTCGCAAGATTTTCTGCGATTAATCGCTTTGTTATGCGCAAAATTTAATAATGAATTCTAAAGTAGTGTATTGAGCACATTTAATTTAAATGTGGGTACATACATGTGTGTTTTTACCAGCGGTATTCCCTTTACACAGTAACAATAAAACTTTTCTTGTAAATCTCAATTTAAACATTAATGTAATCAAATCAAATATAAAACCAAAGCTATTTGCCACTGCCAGGGGATTGCCTTTTATAAATTGTTCAGTCCTGGGGCCGTGTTATAGAAAGTTCATATCTTCCCTAGTCTTCATAATAATAATAATAATAATAATAATCATCCTTATTTGTAGAGCACTTTTCAAAAACAAGTTACAAAGTGCTTTAACAAGTGTAAAGAATAATACAAAAAAACAAGATAAGAGCATGGAAAATTAATATAAAATTAGTAAAATACAATAAAATAAAAGGGATAAAATAAAGTCAAATAAGATCGGGAAAGGCACTCCTATAAAAGTATGTTTTAAGAAGGGACTTAAAAGAGTTCACTGACTCAGCCGACCTGATTTCCTCGGGCAGGCTGTTCCAGAGCCTCGGGGCCCTGCAAGCAAACGCTCTGTCCCCTTTAGTTTTCAGTCGAGACTCTGGAACAGACAGCAGACCTCTGCCTGAGGATCTCAAGGTACGTGCTGGTGTGTATGGGACTAAAAGTTCAGAAATATAACAAGGTGAGAGGCCATGAAGAGCTTTAAAAGTGATCAATAGAATTTTAAAGTCAATTCTAAAACATACTGGGAGCCAGTGTAATGAAGCTAAAATAGGAGTAATGTGGTCATATTTCTTTGTTCTGGTTAAAAGCCTGGCAGCTGAGTTCTGGACAGTCTGAAGTTGATCAATAGATTTTTGGGTTAAACAGGTGAAAAGGCTGTTGCAATAATCCAGGCGTGATGAGATGAAGGCGTGTAAAAAGGTCATGTGTCCTTAAAAGTTAACATAGATCGAATTTTTGCTATATTTCTAAGTTGATAAAAACATGATTGAACAAGCTTTGTTGCGTGCTGCTCGAAATTTAAATTACTATCAAACCAAACACCAAGGTTCTTTGCCACAGGCTTAATGTGATTTACTAGGGAACCAGCAGATGGCAGTATTTGATTTGCCATCTGCTGAGACCCGATGACCAGGATTTCTGTTTTGTCTGAGTTCAGCTGGAGGAAATTATTTGACATCCATTTTTTAACTTCACAAAGGCAGTTATTAAGTGAACTCAGCATTCCAGGGTCTGTGGATCTGACGGGCAAGTACATTTGTGTGTCATCAGCATAAATATGAAAAGAAATGCCATGTTTATGGATAATATGTCCAAGGGGAAGCAGATACAAGGAAAACAAAATGGGTCCTAAGACCGACCCCTGAGGCACACCATATTTAACTGGACAGAATGAGGAGACATAGTTGTTTACAGACACACAAAACTTCCTATTTGACAGGTAAGATGAAAACCATTCTAGGGCAGTACCAGAGATCCCCACCCAGTGCCTCAGTCTGTCTAACATGATGTTGTGATCAATGGTGTCAAAAGCAGCGCTAAGGTCCAGGAATACAAGGACTGAGCACATGCCTTCATCAGCAGACATTAAAAGGTCATTGGTGACTTTAAGCAGGGCAGTCTCAGTGCTGTGGTACTTCCTAAAAACAGACTGAAACTTTTCAAATAATTTGTTATTTTCCAGTACAGTGAGCAGCTGTTTGGACACAATTCTTTCTAGAATCTTTGCAATAAAAGGCAGTTTTGAAATTGGTCTAACATTATGTGGGAGGGAGGGATCTAAACCAAGTTTCTTTAAAAGTGGGTTCACGCAAGCAGTTTTAAAATAATCAGGGACACAACCAGTAGATAGGGAGCTGTTAAAAACAGAGATAAAATGGGTCCCAACAGAATCCATTACTTTCAGTAAAAACTTTGTAGGTATTACATCAAGTGGGCTGGAGGACACTCTCATTTGTGATACTGTTTTTAAAAGCTCAGATAAGTCGATGGGATAAAACTGGTTAAAACTCTCTTGTTGCTGGTGAGGAACCTCTGAGTAAGAGGCCACGGGGGTAATAGAGGCTCTGATTGACACCACCTTATTGGTAAAATAAGATAAAAACAATTCACAGTCATCATTACTTCCAGCTGAGTCACAATGAGGGGTTGGGTTTACCAGCTGATCCACAGTCTTAAACAGAAACCTGGGATTGTGTTTATGTGTAGTAATGAGTTCAGAAAAATAGTGTGTTCTCGCATCCTTAACCATGTTATTGTAGTTAATTAATAAATCCTTCAGACTGAGGTAATGGACTTGGAGACTGGATTTTTTCCATCTGCGCTCTGCTTTCCTGCATTCCCTTTTTAGGCTGCGAATGCTGTCATTTATCCAGGGTTGCTTACTAGCTTTAGACGTAGGCCTAACCTTTAGAGGAGCAGTAATATTTAGTGACGACAAGCAGATATGATTGAAGTGATCGAACAGATTGTTGGTGTTGGAATCAGACAGGTGTTGGCTTTGGCTCTGAAAGAATGCGCAAAACTTTGAAACACTTTGTTCATTAAAGATGCAAGAACACACGGAGCTTGGTGAGGCGGCATGAGTAACAAGCGAAACGCAGCTAAAAACAATACATCTGTGGTCAGATATGGTCATGTCCACCAATTCCACAGAGGAAATGCTGAGTCCAGTGTATTACCAGGGTTATGTGTATGCCCTTTGACATGTTGTTTGAAGTTAAAAGAAGTGGCCATAAAAAGTCAGTTGCATTAACATCGTTGGGGTCATCAACATGAATATTAAAATCGCCACAAAGAACAATTCTGTCATAATTTAAAACCAGAGTAGATAAAAATTCAGGAAGTTCTGTTAAAAATCCTCCGGGCGGTTTTGGGGGGCGATAAATTATAACAAATATGATAGGTTGCAGCCCTCCAACTTTAAGAGTGAGAACTTCAAAGGAGTTAAATTCATCACAGCGTACGTGATGACATTTAAAATTTTTCCTATACACGCTCACTAGCCCACCACCACGACCACTGACCCTCGGTTGACTAAAACAATCATATTGAGGCGGACACAGTTCAGCTAGCTGGCTATAGTCATTCATCTGCAACCAGGATTCAGTTAAAAACATAAAATCTAGATTTGCAGACAAGATAAAATCATTTAAGATAAAAGTCTTACTTGAAAGTGATCTCACATTGAAGAGAGCCATTTTAAATGAGTTTGTTCTGGGTGCTGGAGTTGGTGCAGTTGTCCTAATCCTTAAGAGATTACTAATATTTCTGTGTGGGATGTGCACATTTCGGTTTACTGGTCTATGCGTGATGATGACAGGAATAGAAGTCTTTGGAGCAGCGCTGGGAGCAGACGGCTTTACATGCCAGCAGGTGGAGACAGTTGTTTGTGGCAGTGAGGAAGAGATGTGTTCAGTGACCGGTGGTGTGTCCAGGTGTGCTGCATGAATGATTAGTCATTCACGTAAATCATGTGTGGACCGCACCACATGCTGTATGTGAGCAGCTAACATTTCTGAGCCCCGTTTGTTTGGGTGAAGTCCGTCTGTCTTAAAAAGAGACATTCTTTGCCAGAAAATATTAAAATTATCCACATAACACACACGATGAGCCCTGCAGGCGGACTGGAGCCAGTCGTGGAGGCCAAGGAGTCTACTGAAGCGGCCAGCACCGCGACCAACTGTGGGAATGGGACCAGAGATAAAAACGGACTTTCCACACTGCTTTAAAAAGTTAAAAAGACGGTTAAAATCTGATTTTGTCAGCTCAGACTGCTGAAGAGCTGTGTCATTTGTTCCGACATGGACTATCACTCTTGTGATGGAGGACGGGAGCGACGGCATCAGGTCCTGGAGTTTTTTTAAAATGTCAGCCGTGTTGGCACCGGGGAAGCAGTGAGTGGTAGCGTTAAAGAAACGGAGGTTTCTGGTTATGGAGTCACCAATTATTAGTGTGGTTGGGGAGAAAAGGGGACGAGGAGATGCCGGCTGTGTGGTTCCAGAGCAGGACTGAGCAGTATCTGCATCAACACTGCGTGCGGACTGAGGATGGAGTGTGTGAGCTGCCGAGTGTTGTGTTGGAGTGGCAGTAACAGACCTGAGAGAAGGGCTACCCGACGGTGCAGGGTAGAGACGGCCTCCGGAGCGTCTGAACACAGCCTCCTTCAGGATCCTACGTCGGGAAGCGGAGGTTTTTGACCGGGATGACGGCCGCCGATCAGGCCCAGTGGAAGACTGGCGGCCCAGTGCAGGAGATGTAGCCGGTGGAGGAGATGCAACAGTGTCGGCAGGCACTGTGCGCCGAAAGAGATCCGTATCAGGGAGACTCGAAGCCACAGGTGCATCAGGCTGGATGGACCGGAGTGTCGTTAGACAAAGCTGCATAGCAGTTGGAGAGGCCGATGTGCGGAGGAGAGGCAGCCCCATCCGAGCCTCTCTTGCTGCCACGGACCACCACTTCAGCCCAGGTTGACTGATGCTTTGGAGTCGAGCAGGATGAAAGCCTGGGAAGGCTAGAGGGGTCCCAAAACACGGTGTCCTGGATGTTAGCGGTTGCGCTAAGAGAAACAATCTGTTTGGCTTGTACTGAAGCCACATCCATAAAGCCAGTCAGCAGGGAATCTTTCTCTTTGAGTTCCTCTGAAAGTCGTCGGATGTCTTCCATAAGGTCAGCAATCTTCTTGTTCGCTTTCTTAAGGAGCGTGCAGTCCTCATGGAGCAGAGTTATTTCGGCTAGCATAGTCACCGGAGCTTTGTTGCGATCAGTAGCGTTGATCGCGTTTTTACGGGTCATCTAGCTTAAAATCCATGTCGGATGGCTAAAATCCTTAACCCACGTAAAACTTAAGTTAAATAAAAAGGATATTAAAAATGTAACGAAAAAGAGTGGATTAAAACTGGATAAGAGTTTGGTTTAAGACGGAGCTTCCGACAGGTGGCTACAGACGCCAACGCATGCGCAGAGTGCGTCAGCAATTACGTCAGAGATCTTGTGACAAGATGATGCAAGTTGAGACAGGAAAAGTCTAAGATAGGATTTTTCTCATTTGGTAGCAAATCATAACTAACTTTAGGAATCCTATCTTATCTTACTTCATCCTATCTTATCTCAGGTTAGAAAATCCTAAATACTCAATCCAACATCGGTTATCAACTTTTATGTCTGTTACCTAGCAACCGATGCCACTTTGCTCATCTCGCTGAGCTAAATGGCTTTTAATCGCAGTTTTTTGGCCTTTTTTAAATGACACACATTGAAAATGGAGCAGAAACAACAACTTTCATTGAACTTCAGTTCAGAGGTGTTGGTAACCTCCGTCTAGAAATCCAAATTCACGTAACGCTTATCTGGGGAGATAAAGCGAGAGAGTGGGCTAAATAGCGCTGATTCTGTCAAAAAGAAAATAAGTCTATCAACAAGTGATACGAAGAGAAAGGCAGCAGTTGTGTCCAGAGAGCAGAGGAAAACCGCTGGTGGATCCTCCTGTGCTCCTGCACTGACCATGGCAGAAACCCGTACTCTGCTCAGGAAAGTTAATAATGAAGGTAACAAAATAATAATAATAAAGACTGCGGGCTAACGTCATCATGTTTTCATGCATTTCTTGAATTTAACGATGTCCTCCTATCAAAGACTTGCATTTGGATAGGTTTTATTACATCAAGCCATTACATTATGTTATATTGAGACGTTATCCAGCGTTACATCACCTACAGCCTTTCTACTAAGTGTTTTGTCATCAAACACATCGGTAGAATCAATTAAGTTCTGCCTGTTGACATTTTGTTGATTTTGTAAAAGCAATAAAAGAGCAGCCGTGTGGATTAAACGAGTTAGCTAACACTACCTGGTGGAAAAGTAAAAATTAGGACAGCTCAACAAGACAGCACCTAAGGTTAGGAGAGTTTAAGATTTTACGGTGTTAGGATGCATCTGTAATACACTTTTCCTATCTTTAGTTAGGAGAGGAATATTGACTTTTAATCTGTAATGGCCTTTTTCCTAAAACAGTTCGTTATTAACCATGGTTATCAAGCAGTTAGGATAGGATCTGCTGGTTAGGAAGTTTCTGTAAGACACACAATGGTGGATGTCTCACAGTGGGAATCGAACCCGTGTCTCCCACACCAAAGGCAAGCATCTTATCTATGCACCTTCACCACCCCTATTACTGTTTACTGAATAAGATGGTTACTATCCATAGAGCGCCTGCTGTTTACTCGCAGAGCGTTTGTCTCCCCGTCCACCGGAGCGCAGAGCAACCCCACGGGACCAAGTGACTACGTTGTGATTTTAAGAATGTTCCTAAGACCACCATCTTCCCCAATACTAATCAGCATGCAGTGTGTAGCTATTCACTTCGCTATGGCATTTGATCTCTTGTCTTGCTTTTGGTAATCTACTTCTCCCACACGCTGCATCCAGCGTAGTCTGCAGAAGTCTCCCTCCGCTGCTTGTTTGGGTGGGTGATTTGCAGGCTGATCAACATCCCAATCCTCCTGTGACCCATGGTTTGATTTCAGGCTATGTGTATTTAGAGCCAGTGAGCAACGGACTTTCAAAATAATAATAATAAAAACTGTGTTAAGGTGCAATAAAATAATTGTCGGCCTAAATTAATTAATGTGTTCAAGCGATGCCCAGCCCTAGTTAGGATTAAAATAGTACAGACAATACAAACATACAAATGAGCTTGTTGTAATGGTAAAGTCGTCACAAATTCTAAGTAATAAGTTAGAAGTCATTGCTTCATTTTAAGTAAGTATTCTGTTTCTGGAATGAGGACGAGCGAAACAGTGAAATTCATAGACTAATCAGCTTAAATGTAACGCTTTATAATCTGAAATGTTGGGTGGATTCAAGCAATTTAATTCATAAAATATTTGTTATTTTTATACAATATTTTCAGTGTTACAGTAAATGTAAGAAACGGGGCATTTTGACTGTTCGAAGTATGAATATACAAATATGGAACTGGTGGAGACTGTAACATCACTGCATAACTAGCAGTAAAGAATTGAGGATACTGACATGCCAAAGAAATTTCCTCCAAATAAAATAAAATAAATAATGATAATAAAGCCAGCTATGGTAAACCACTGATACGAGAGCGAGCTCACCTTTGGATCATGAACAAAAGCACCTCCTTTAGATCCAGGGGGGAGTTCTCCTGCTGTTGCATATTTAAGGCACTCAATAATAGTCTGGAAACGGAAGGGGTCAGATGGTAAGAATTACAACAAGAAAAATGAAAGTTGCACTTTTAATTTTGAAATATGTTATCCAACATTGGCTGTGGCTACTTGCAAAATACAAAAAGGGCACAAACCATCAGACCAGCTAGCCTAATCCCAATGCACATGTGTCATCTCAAAGGCACACTGTCAACTTTCTTGTTCATTCTCTACAGGTCACGCTTCACAGTCAACCTTTGCTCTCGTCAAAACATGTTCTCATACCGTTTTCCCTGCTCCGTTGGGTCCAACCAGCACAGTCAGAGGATTGAAGAAAGAGATGACCTGTTTGTCTTTATCCTCAATCCCAAAGCTCCTTACCCCTAGGATGCTCATCTTGTCTATCTTTGACATTTTCACTTTTTGAGAGACTTTCTGAAAGAGAGAACACATGGCTTAAATCAGCAGCAGTGCTGAAAACAGGACAGGATGTGCCAAAGCACTTCACTGTGAGATCAACTGAAGAAGATATCAAACATCAGACAAATAGTGACTTCTAATTCACAATGCCATCTTAAAATTCAGCTGCAGCTACACAGAAGAATAGGTTTATCGTGGTTAGCGTTAGAATCAGTTGATCTGCTGAATGTGTGTCAGTTTGCACTTTGCAGCTACTAAGTGAGGTATTTTAGCGAAATGTGCAAAAAGTATTGCACTACAAAAAAGTTAACAAGACAGTGGTGAGCTGTTCCTAGTGGTTAGAAGTGATTATCTACACGTTATGTACTTTTGACTGAAGCTCGCTCAGTCAAAAGAGAACAAAATGTAATTGACTAAATCTGCAGATTTATCAAGCATGATATCAGTTACTTGTCAGCCACAGTCTTCAAAAAAAAAAAAAGATAATTTAAGTAGCAAAGAACTTTTAAAATACTAAATTAAGCTTTATTATATGTCAGGTCTTTGGCAGGAAAATACTATTTAATGATATAATTATTAAACACAACCTTGATTTGATGTTTTAAACTGAAACTGAGCCTAACAACAGTGCAGCAGTTCTTACAGAGTCATGCCCTCCAACTTCAGTTTCATAAGTGCATAAGAAAGGAGGTGGGGTTGCCATTTTGTTTAATAACTTAATAAATAGGAATAGGAATCCTATTTAAGGGACAGTAACTATTTTGTGTCAATCTGTAATTGCATATTCAACAATGGAAGCTCATAACAATTCACCATTCTTGGGCATCTTCTGTTCCACATCTACACACTTCCACTCAACAGGATTTAGAAAAACTTTAGTGGACTCAAACTCTTTAACACTGTCTTTACAGGATCTCTCTGAAAAGTCGATCAGACAGCTGATTCAGAACACTGCTGCTAGAGACCACATGAGTCCAGTTCTCAGATCTTTAGACTGGCTTCCTGTGAGTCAAATGATTTACTTCAACATTCTACTTTTGGTTTATAAAAGGCAAAAGACATTGGGCCAAAAATACATCTCTGATCTGCTGCACCATTTTGAACCATCCAGACCTCTCAGATCTAGGGTTGCACAATATACTGACTCATTACTGTTATCGCAAAATCACACTGCACAATATATCACAAATGTTGCAGAAAGTATACAATTTTCCGTTTATTTCATGGAGATCGTGCAACTCTACTGAGATTGTCTGGTACAGGTCTTCTTACTGCCCCGCGACCCTGTCCGCAGGATAAGCACTTGACAATGGATGGATGGATGGTCTTCTTACTGTACCTAGAGTCAAAACTAAACACGGAGAAGCTGCATTCAGTGTTTATGCTCCCCATATCTGGAACAAACTCACAGAAAACTCTCAATTCTTTTATATCAAGGCTTAAGATATTTGTTTGCCACCGCAAGATCAATTCATTTATATTCTACTGTTTCATTTCTCTTATTATATTTTAGCATATTGTCATCTTTTGTTTAACTTTGTTTTAATCATTTAACTTAAATCCTGTTTGTGCATCTTTTATATTGCCTTGTGTTTCTTCTATATCTTGTCTTAATGCCTTTATGTCTAATGCAAAACCTTTTGAATTGCCTTGTTGTTGAAAGGTGCTAACGTTATACAAATAAATTTGCCTTTACTGGCAGTCTAACATTCACCTGGCACAAGCCATTGACTTCAGTACATTACTTGTACAGTAACGTTAATGTTTCTACAGACAAGCCATCATTATGTCAATCACTTATTTCTGCAGGCAAATCAGTTTGCTTTAATGAAATCTATGATGCAAGTTACCGCACCAGTGGAAATGGGGCCAAAGAAGAGCGTAGCCTAAACATGTCCAGTATAACGTTAGTTACAGAGCTTTGGCACGAAAATGGACTGGGAACTCTGGGCGAATAAGTAACAGTAACGTTATTTAAGTTTAAATTGCAGGTTTAGTAACTTTAAGTTACTGGCGTTATGTTTTAAACACCACTGTAAGTTAACACTTAAGAATAAATGTAGGAAAACTCCACATTACCGAGCTAACAACATTTAAAGCCCTGATGTTAAGGAGAAGCAACGTTAACTTAACGTTATACACACAACGCTAGCTAGCTCGGTTAACGTTACCGGTCAACTCAGCAGGCCAGCTAACAACATGACGTTAAGTTTTGCTATATGCTACGTCGCTGTGTTTCACTCGCTGCACAAGAGAGTACTCCTGCGTACAGCAAAACAACAATGTTTTTCGTCAGTGGCAATAATCTCCAGCCGTATGTATGCTTTAAATTCAGCTCACCTTCAGAGCGTTTTTTCGGTTCAAACGTGGAAGTACATTGCAGTTTTCGCGCTGTAGGGAATGTGACGGAAAAAGCAGCGACTTCTGACTTCCGGGAGTAGGAACGTGGACATAGAATAAGAACGTATAGAAAGGTTATTCCCACTACACAAATAGCTTACCCTTCCCATTATCATTGCGTCATCCACACATGAAATGAATCTTCATGTTACACATTGGCTTCATCAACTATTCAATTGCAGTAATTTTAACTGTTCTAAAGGAATAAATAACCAATATACAATTGCAATAGCTTTATCTATTCATTCCATATCTATGATCCAATGGTCGGCAATGGGTCGGCTCGGCTCAACCTTCTTCTGTGGTGACCAGCCTTGTGTCGAAATCTCTATGGTCTTTTGTACCTACCACCGTCAAACTAACCAGTGTGTTATTGCCATAGACTGTTTATAGAAAGGTTATTCCTGATGAAATGATGAGCTTCCCTTTCTCGCTTTTTGTCCTCTTATTTCTTGTTTTGTGTGAGGCGTTTGATTTCCCTTTAGCCTCTGCTCTTAACGTTTAATCTCTGTCTCAGTAACGTTATTGCCTGTATTTGAGGCCTTTGTGGAAACGTTTCTGCTACTTTATCCCCAGAAACTAAGATATCCCACCCTTATATTCTAACTGACATTTCAAATATAATGTTCTTTCAGCTGCTGCAGTAGAAAGATGAAGCTGTATTAAGAAATTATAAAAATGAAACCACTAAAAACGATTGTCTTGCATCCCTAAAATTTGGAGTTATATGAAAGCCTATAGGGGGCTATATTAAAGTGATAATGTAAACTTTAAAATTAAAATGTTATTTTGCAAGAGCATTATCGTTTTCCGCATGGATGTGTTATTTGAGGATAAATGAAAATGGAAATGTTTGACATTTAATTTTCAAAATACTCAAATGTTAAATCAAATTTGAACATTTTTAAAATGCACCATAAACAATGTAGCCTACTTTTTCGTGTGTGCAAGCATTATTTAAGTCACAATACAAATTAAAATGCAGTTTTCTAACAATTTGAATTACACCAAGAGCTGCAACTCCAGTCCGTCAAGCTCCTGAAGTTTGCGGATGATTGCAGACTGCGCTCATCTCTGGGTGGGATGAGTCTGCCTACAGGTGGGAGATTGACCATCTGGTGTCCTGGTGCAGCCAGAACAGTCTGGAGCTCAACACTCTGAAGACAGTGGAGATGATCGTAGTTTTTAGAAAGAGCCCAGCTCCACCCTCCCCTATCATCCTAAGTGACTCCTCAGTAGACACCATGGACTCCTTCTGCTTCCTGGGCACCATCATCTCAAAGGTGGGAGCTAAACATCACCTCCCTCACCAAGAAGGCCCAGCAGAGGATGTACTTCCTGGACATTCCTGAAGTTCAGCCTGCCAAAGACAATGATGGCGCACTTCTACACCGCCATCATCAAGTCCATCCTCACCTCCCTCACCATCTGGTACACTGCTGCCACCGCCAGGGACAAGGGCCGGCTGCAGCGTATCATTCGGTCTGCAGAGAAGGTGGTTGGTTGTCACCTTGCATCTCTTCAGGACCTGTACACCTCCAGGTCTCTGAGGCGTGCAGGAAAGATTGTGGCAGACCCCTTCCACCCCAGACACAAACTGTTTCAGACTCTCCCCTCTGGCAAGAGGCTGCAGTTCATCAGGACCAAAACCTCTTGCCACAGAAACAGCTTCTTTCCGATTGCAGTAGGCTTCCTCAACAAGGCCCTGGTCCTCACTTTCACCGACTCTCATGCCCCCCTCCCCAAAGACTTACACACACACTCATACACACTCCTGACCCCACACTTTACAACAACGCTCAGCTGTACTTTATGCTCATGTTGTGAATTTTTGTACATACTTGTCAGCATTGTATTATCGTATTATTGTAGTTTTTGTATACTTGTACATTTTTTGATCTCCTTACTTTTTATAAATTTCTATCTATATTCATGTGTACTGTAAGCACCAATTTATACCATGGAAAATTCCTCCCGTGTTAAAATGTACCTGGCAATAAATCAGATTCTGATTCTGATTCTGATTCTTAAAACACCATAACATTTAATTTCAACTTAGTCTGTTGCAGTGGACAATTTACAAATGCAATAAGTGAAACAGCGCCCCCAGTCTAGCATTTATATTCACATATCACCATGCTCTTTTGGTGTCAAAATGAAAATGCAGTCTGTCAGTCCTCTTATCAAAGCGGGTCTTCAATTAGGATATCACTTCCTCATTTAGTGACTTGGTTCATTAATATTTCCAAGTTCTTCCTACTGACCCGGGAGATGTTTTTTCTCTGGCCATTCTGCCAAAAAGCCTTTCTAACATGTGATTGATGTTGTGGAATGGTTTAGGCACCAAAACTACTTGATTAGGTTTAGGAAAAGATCATGGTTAATATGTCAATGGTGACTCTTCTGGGTGAAAGTCTTGTTTGTGTTTGATCCAACCTCCTCCCTTCGGAGACTTTGTCACTCTTTATACTACCTCTATCTATCTATCTATCTATCTATCTATCTATATATATATATCTATATATATATCTATATATATATGTGTGTGTGTGTGTGGGATGGACACACACAGTCCCCATTTAGATCATTATGAAAGTACATGTCACCCACTGCAACAGTGTGGCTTATTTACATGCTTTTAATTGTTATTGGACAACAGCTGAGGTCTATCAAAGGAATAAGCTATATTAGACTTTGGCTACACATGCAATACTTGTTTGGGATACATTTATTGTTGTTTTTCATACTGTCTTATCCTTTAAAAAATATTTAAAAAATACAAAACAGTTGCAAAACATTGTCGTAGTATGCTTTTTCCTGGACTGTACTGAAAATGTTTGTATAGTAAGTCACCATCACCATGTTTGTATTTTGTATTAGTGTTTGTGTTTGAATTATATCTAGGTTTGTCTGTTTTCAATTTGACATTATATACATAAAGCATGTGTCCGTAGTTCAGAACTGATACTGAGCTGTCTTAGACTAAACAGATCAAACATATTTTATCATTCAAGTAGACCTATTCTATGTCCTTGATAATCTCTCATCTCATTTACCACAAGAGGACAGTGTTTCCCTGTGGAAAAGCCATTGCTGCCAAATCTCACAGATCACAGCAGTCTTTCCCCTCTACTCTTCTCATATTGCTAGACACCCATTTGTTTGAGTATGCTGTGACAGTTCTAGTGAGGCCATTGCAGAATATCATTTATTAGAAGCTATAGATGCAGATGAGATACTTTACTTTAACTGTACACAGAATATGTGTAATACACATTCCCACAATTTCCAAGATAAATTACAATAGATGGCAAGCCCGAGTTAACAATGTATAATTACAAATACTAATTTGATAGGCTAGAATTTTTAAAATTTTAAGGTTTTACATTTACAAAGAAAAGGAATATTCCCCTTTTTTTTTCCCTGAGCTCTTCTTCCCCATTCCAGTACTTAAACAAAACTGAAATAAAACAGATGGTATGAGTAAGAACAGAAAACTGTGTGTGTATTTGTGTGTGTGTGTGTGTGTGTGTGTGTGTGTGTGTGTGTGTGTGTGTGTGTGTGTGTGTAGGGGGGGGGGGGGGGGGGGGGGGGGGGGGAATAAAACTAATTGGGATAAAGGGAGTTATTTTGAGCCTGTGTTTGGGGATGTCCACAGGGACCTGCAGGACTGGTGTTCAGAACCTGCAGCTAACCCCCTAAAAACCCGAGACCATCATCTCTCTGACTTCCTCTCTGTTCTCTCCC